CGTCCCTCGTCGTTTGTCTTGTCTCGTGCATCGAGATGCCTTTACGAGACTGGAGTCATAGAAACTACCATTGAATTGAATATCTAGAACAGCCAGCTTAACAGCAACAGAGGAAGCAATGCAAGTGACAGGCAGGACAGAAATAAATCGTGAGAGAAGCTCAAAAAAGCATAAGATTGACCACCTATATTCGCTCTCTGTGCTAAAACTCCAGCAGAAATAGGAGTGTGTGGCGATGTAGATGAAAGAATTGCCAAGAAACCAAAGCATTGTAAACAAGTGCACCATTTCCCCTTGTCACATCGGCATGTCTACGGGGAGCCTGGGTATAATGGAAATAGTTGTGGTATGATATCATTCATCATGCAATCACAGTGCTAGCCAACTGCCGTCGCAGAGATCACTACAAGAAGCATCTCGGATAGGCCTCTGGAAAGAAAGAGGGGACGTACCAGGCAGTCTGCTGAAGAATGGTGTGCCTACTCCCTTTTAGTCATATGAAATCAATTTACTTACATTAAGAGGAGGTTTTTGGAGCTGTGCCACTCAGATGATGATACCGATGATGGTGATACTTGTACGTTCCTCTGCTTCATGCTTATTCCTTTTGTCTGAAGCGGTATTACGTTCCAACAAAAGCATCAAACCCTCAAACTCTTTTTCCGTGGCGTGACGAGCGGCTTCCAAACAAACAATCTCAACTATTCCAGGATCTCATCTCTGCTGCCCATCAGAGGTCGAAGCCAGATTCCTGACCCACGAATGCTCTTGGGTTTTGGGCAAGTCCAGATGTATTCACAAATGTGTGTCACAGACACACATTTGAACAGTATCACATTGCACATGCCAGGCATAGAGGATGGCCATCCAGAATTGAGTAGCACATGCTAAAGCTCTGCGTTGTGCTCCTGATTCCACATCTGCAACAGCTTATATCAGATGTTGATGAGAATTATTCTGAGAGTGATGGATCGACTGAACGAAAGAGTCCCGGACCTAGACCCTCTCGGAGACCCTTTGTCGGACCCTTAGACGCTTGGTCGATGCGCGCTGGTGGGGGCGCGGGCCACCGTACCACTGGTTTGGTAGCCCATCATTCGTCATGGCTCATCACCCGTATGTACACATGCTGTTGTCCTTGGCAGAGAGCCCACGACACTAGTACCGACGTGACACCACGAAGCAAAGTACAGTAGAGCAGATATGTAATAGATTTAAGTCTACATAGGTACATACCAATGCAAGGCTATGGCAGTCATCGTCATCATCGTCATCTTATCCATGGCTCCATTCATTGCCACCTCTCTTCGAGACGTTTCGAGGCCACAGAGGCCATGCACAGCGTGATGCCCGCAGCAAACCCAAAGACGCTCGTTGAGCTTGCGGATCCTTAAGCGCCGAAGGGGTTGGGACTCTTGAGTTCAGTCAATTTGGTATTCTGATTATTCCAGAAACATGCGCAACATTTCAACGGTTCAAAATGAGCTGTTATTCAATGATAACGCATTGTTGAACCTTGGAAGGCTTTGAAAAGGAAGCTTGTTCTGGAGACAAATAGTGCGCAATGTTTCCTGGCGTGGCATGTCCAGAACAACAGCAGTCAAGGGGCAATTACGATCTTTTGGCAATATACAACCAGGATAGTAAGCACAATGTGGTCTATTGTTCTTTACACCCTAATTGACACACGCCTTAGCTACAGAGAGATTGGATGCTGACTTATAAATGGCTCAATACTTCAACTTCTCCCTCTGGAAAGCTACCCACCATCATCAACAAGCCTCCCACCCCGTTGGATTTTGTCCATTACATCCTGGTTCCTGAGACGGCACTTCAGTTCATAATGGAAAATCTATAGCAGAGTCGACGTGAGGCCATTGGAACACTAAGGGAAAGTTCACAATGTGGAGTAGAGATGTTTCCGGATGACGATGGCGAATCAACACCAGCTCAGCTAACGTAATAGGTTATGGATTGCTAATTTGGTGCCCTTTCAGGCATTATGCCCGAGCCGTTTGTAAAGAGACAAAGGGCGAAGGTGAACTTTGATCACATACTTAACGGAGCTTACCACTAGATGGAAGATTATTTCACGATATGTGTTTCTAGACCCTTGTTGCACTTACTCTCAAGTGATTGCTTGGCCCCATCCAGAGCAACTTCACTTCTTTTCACGCATCACTTGTTTGTATCTGATTTCCAAAGTAACAAGTTCGTATTCACTTTGTATCGTTCTTGATATACAGTTATCCACCGCTCCTTGATACAGTCAAATTCTCTGTGCTTATTAGCTGTGCTCCACTGAGTGTATTGAGCTAGAACTTCGTATAACTTATACCGCACATCTCCTACACACTCTAGAATATTTCAGAGACCAATAGTGGAGAAATCTGTGAATGAGAGAGATCCCACACTTTTGATGGCAATCGCCCCTACCACCACTCCTTGAAACACCCTTTTCTGGCTTGATGAGTAACCGCTTTAGGCAACTTTACCTGACAATGCGCCCACTCCTGTCCCATGCACTAAGAGCTGGCAGTTCAGTTGGACAACATCTCTACCCTTGCTAATGGGTATCGCGCATTCAGAGATGCACTTCAAAAGTGTCAGCGGATTTGCCAAGTGGTTTAACTCGCGGCTTTAGTTTTGAGAACGCCATCAATATGCCATCACATTGGGAAAACATACTTTTCCAGCCCTCCGGCATGAAATACATGTTCTCTCGTGTTCTAGCATCACTCTGCAAGAGTTCCAGAAGGAATACGCATACAATGATTTTTCTGCTCATTTAAGACACCTTGAAAGCTTTGAACTGCACGCTGTATCAAGAAGTGGTGGTGTATCAAGGAGCGGTGGATAACTGTACCATTCATTCTAATAACGCTAAATCCGAGCTCAATCAAATGCTAAGTCTGTCCAGACTTGTGAACTGCCCAATAGGAATCAGTAGGATTCCTTGGAAGTATCAATGTAAATTACCAACATATTCTAGTGGGTAACACACTGAAAATCAGTGGGACTGCGGTGAGACCCTCGAGATCTCAGTGGGCACAGCCACTGGTTTATCGTGGGCGATTCCACTAACAATCAGTGGATGTTGGTGTAACCAGCAGAATGCCCACTTACTAGATCAACAGGCGACCCACTGAGGCGTCGGTGGGAAAATGACATACGTAGTGGGATTTCCGGGGAGAAAAATCAGTGGATTTTCCCTTTCTTAGACATGGTATCCACGTTGATTTATGCATGGTATTTCCCACTTAAAATAATCGGATTCACTTCCCGCAGTCGAATAGAGTTAGTCGTTGATTTTTTGTCATGCGTGTAATCGTGGATTCCGGACAACATCAATATCGCGGCGCGTCTGCGTCTGCGTAGTAACTGGTGAACACGTCTCGTTGGTCATGCGTGCCCGCGGTTCTGTTTCTCTGCTACGTCGCCTCTGTCCAGTAACTTGTATGTTATTCGCGCACGCGCCAGGTCCCAAAACCCATCCCGCTCATATGCTGCTCCAACATCAGACGGTCGTCTCTTTCTCCTTATCGTTTTTCCTCTTTCTTTTTCGAATTCTTCGGCCGGTGCAGTCGTACCTCGACGTGCCTGGTCTTGAGCGATACAGATGCATTCGGGACAGACGATAGTGTGAGACGTCGCCGATGTGGGCACCTTGTGATGCTCCTACGTCATGTTCGATGACAGCGGTGCGCCTCCACGAACGCGGGCGATGAGCCAGGGCTCGAGCAATCAGCGAAAACAGGGGAGAAGGTCTGCTAGGGTCCGGTATGAAACGGCGCAGGCGAGGCGGCAGAATGAAGATTGTGATATGCAGCGACGACGTTGAAAAACGCAAAGCTTGCGCCACCAAAGTCTGGACCATGTGAGCATGCCCTACACTGCAAAAACCCGAGCTTGCTTAGTGTGCGTGTAGTGTATACGACAGCGGGACTCACCTGCGTACTGGGTGTGTCACCAGTGAACAAGCTAAAACACCGATAGACACTCTAGGAAGACCTGTCGTATGTGCCTTTGTGTAATGTTCGTCGAGCAGAGGGTCAGATGCGGCAGACGCTTGTATGTTCGAGTGAACTAGTCGCTTTGCCAACAGACGACTGGGTCGCTGGCTGCTGAACTTGCAATAAGCAAGGTCATATGAGACACAGCAGTCAGAGAGACGCACCTCGAGATTCCTCACCACTTCGATGGCTTTGATCCACCCTCAAAGGACCCGCGTGGCATACGCATCGCTCAAGGTCGAGAAATGTAGGTTCTGTTAAGGCGTCAAGTTAAGCCCGCATCGCGCATGAAAACAAACGTACCACAAGGTCCGGTCAGGGTTTAGCTAGGCCCGCCATTACCTCGATACGCTATCCGAGACCTGAGAGAGTGCGCACAGATGACAGAAAACAAGTAGATACAAGCAGAGAAGTATCTGAGACAGCGACGAGCCATAATCTGAGCGTGGAGGATGGAGGTCGTGAAGTGCGTCCGGCAGACTGCAGAAACGGCGTTGGACGCCCGCCCGAGCTGGCCGCCGGTGCCGCAGACCCTAACCAGAATGACAACTGCGATATGGCGCTGTAAGTCTGAACCTTGCTGCACTCAGTGCACTGTTGCTGTGACGCTGAGCGTTGATGTATCCCTCTGCATCCTCTTCCACAGACAGAAAACCATTCTGATGGCCTGTCCGCGATACTTCAGGTCAGGTTTCGGCTAGTCAGAAATCGCTCTCATTCAGGTCGCCGGGCATTGTGGTGCGTAAATGCGCAAGCCAGTCTGCTACTCCCTTCCTACCATCGATATCACCAGTCCGTGGACGCATCGCTATACAAGGACGCCGTCACCTCTCGCGGCCTGATATACCACTACTGTACTATTTCTCCCCTGCCTAGCCCTCCAAGCTGACCCTACTGTTCTGTCATGGCTTCCTATCCACGTCTCGCGACTGGCAGCACATTGCGCCTCGTCCGAACGGCAAGGACTACAGCGTGCTCGCCCTGAACATGCTCAGCTATGGCGGGACTGGCAAGCCTACCGACCCGGTGGCGTACTTCCCGAGCTTGATGTCGAGAGACATTGTCGATGTCTTGGACGCCGAGAAGCTCGAGAAGGTTATTTGCATCGGCCAGGACTGGTGAGCTCACCCTGTTCCTCATCGCTGCGGGGTAACCCGGATGCTGAACCGCCAATTGCAGGGGCTGCAAGGCGATCTCGCGTCCCGCGAACTATTATCACGAGCGCACCATCGGCTGCGTCTTCCCCACCACCTCCTTCACACAAGTGCTTCCCCCGATGGACTTTCAAGTATTCCTGGATTCTCGGGCACGAGACGTTCGGCTAGTTGAGATTTCTCGGTAAATCAGACGCGAACGAGGTCGTACGTAGGTGGCAGACGCGTGCACACCTTGTCCTACAACCGCTGACGCGTTTCGCAGATCGACTCGTTCGTCAGCGTCATGTTTGCGCAACCCTGGGATCTGGAAGAAGCACCTGGCCCTGACGGGCACGCTCGAGCAGAGTCTGCTCGACGACTTCGTCTCGTTCTGGCCAGCCTACCTGTCCGAGGAAGACGCGAAGCACTTTGTAGAGACGTTCAGATGCGGCGGCTTTTGCAGCGACGACGTACTCTGAATCCTGCTGCATCGCTGTCCACACTGAGTGTTAATGTATTCCGCTGGTAGCCTCTTCCTACATTTTCTATGGAAGGAAAACTATTTCGATGGCCTGTACATCTGCGATGTCTCAAGTCAGGTTGTGGCTGGTCTGAAATCGTCTCGTTGTGCCGGCCATTGCGCCGCACAAATCCCAGTCTGCTACCCTCTTTCTACCATTGGTATCATCATCCCACGAGCGCATCGCTGTGCAATGACCTCATCATCTCCCGTGGCCTAACCCACTGAGCACTTCTCCCCCGCCCAGTCTTCCAAGCCGACCCTCCCGTTCTGTTATAGCTTCCCATCCACGTTTCGCGACTGGCGTCACATCGTATCTCGTCTAAGGGACAGGCTGCGGCGCGCTCCCCTCGGCATGCTCGGCATTGGCGAGACCGAAAAGCCCATCAACCCGGCGGCGTACGTCCTGAGTCTGAAATCGAGAGAAATTGCCGATGTCTTGGACGCCGCGAAGCTTGGCAAGGTTGATGCTATCGGCCATGGCTGGTGAGCTCGTCTCGTCTCTCCTCAGTAGTGGCGGTCTCAGATACTGAACTGCCAATTACAGGGGCTGTAAGGCAATCTCACACCTCACGAGCTACCATCCCGGGCGTATCTTCGCCTACGTCTTCCTCAGCATCTCGTTCGTGCAGGTACTGGCCCCGATGAACTTCCAGGAGTTCCTGGGCTCCCTGAAGCAACAGCTCGGGTAAGACGTTCGGCTAATGGAGATTATTGAGCGATCTAGACGCGAACGAAGTCATCCAGATGCACGTGGTGGACGCGCGCCCACCTCGTCCCGCAGTTACTGACGCGTTTCGCAGACCGACTCGTTCGTCAGCGTCAGTTTTTGTACGACTCCGAGATCTGGAAGGAGCGCCTGATGTCGACGGGCGTGCTCGAGCAGAGCCTGCTCGAAAGCTTCGTCTTGCTCCGGCCGTCTTACCTGTCGGAAGAAGACGCTGTGGGGACGTTCAGACGTCGAGGCTTTGCGGTGCCAACACGCTGGTGCGAGGGCTTTGCCGCAGAGATACTGCCTGAGCGCATGTCTCTACCGGCCAGAGCGGCGATCCACTTTGCCGCGGCGGAGGATGACTGTGTTTGCCTTTCCAAGACCGGCTATGCGCCCTTTGGGCAGGAGGTGTTCAGCGGGCACGGCGTGGCGATGGAAACATACGACGCGAACCACTGACTGATTCTCTCCCATGTAGACGAGGTTGTCAGCAATCCTGGGGTGTGGATCGAAGGCACGGTGCCACGAAAGCTGACGATTAAACTAGTAGTCTCCGAGTCTGTACGTACAGTTGATGCCTTCTTTATAAATATCGCTTCCGTGTCTCAGTTCCTTGCCAGTCGTACGACGACTTGAGTCTCTATTGAACGCAGCCCAGTTGAGAGAGAAGATAATAGTAATAATCAACCCTCCGTCTCTCGAGAAGGAAGACGCTGTAGTGGTAGCATCCTTGCGGGAATCTGATTGGCCGGTACACCTACACGTAGCGCAAACCGATGAATGATGACTACTGGGAGCCCGAGGTCGAGGCTTGCCTTGTTGCAGAAAGAAGTGGAAAGGCGGATGGAGGCATTCAAGGCATGTGACAGGTGGCAATTGCGTGAAAGAAAGAGAGCAGCGTGGCGAGCTAGGGGCTGGGATCGGACACATGCACCAAGATGCACCACAGCTTAAAAACTTGAGCTCGCCCTAGATCTCTTGCGCCGGCAGCTCTTGCATTCGCAGGGGTGCGCTCGAATCTAATCAGTTATCTAATCGCAGAATCTGGCGTGATCTCGTGATCTCAGACTCTGCCGGGCTGTGTTTGGAGCAGGGAAGCCGGGCGAGAAAGTGAAAGTCCTGTCAGTCCACACGACGACTACCGGCCCTCGCGTGACCTGCCAGAGTCAGTGTCGGACATCCATGTCTTTGCAGACAACAGGGCTGCACTCACGTCCTTTCTGGCCGCGGGAACCGGTCCTGCGCAGATGCTGTCAGTCGCGGCTTGCCAGTCGGTCCGCCCATGGCTGGCCCGCTCGCCCGAGCATCGGATCCACGTGTGGTGGTGTTCAGGTCACCGCGGCGTGTACTGGAATACGGTCGTCGACAAGGACGCCGGCCTTGGAGCAGCCGAACCGTCGGGTGAGATATCCTTCGCGTACGCGAGGCAGTGTATCACGGCGGACGCGTATGCAGCTTGGCGGAAGGATATGCAGAGGCCGGCCTACCGAGGGCGTAACAGCCTGGTGCGAGATGCTGACTTCGAACGGTGCAAGCACACGTCAGCAAACTGGTTCTTGTGGACGGCGGGACGCTGCCCAACTTACCTGGCACGGCTGGTTCGGTTCACCAGTGGGCACTTCCCCCATGGGGCTTTCCGTGAGCGTTTCAATTTCGATGGGAACCGGCGATGCTGGTGTGGGATGGCCGATGTCGAGACTCGGGACCACATCTGGTTTGACTGCGATCTCTGGATTAAGAAGCACAAGCCGGCGGCGGCGTCGGGGCGAACGAAACGTCCTGAGAGCCCTGAACCTCCTCCCTCCCACCCCGCCGGGCATGAGCTCGCTCGAACACTTCCTGCAGGACTGGAGGGAGACCCCGATTGACCTTGATGATGTCGCCGAGTTCTTGCGGCTCAACCCTGTGGTGGGGACTTTCACCTGGCTGGAGCTGGTCGACCAGGCGTTGGCAGATAGGGAACAGGGCGAGGAGGACTCACTGGCGCTCCTCAAAGCTGACCTGCACACAGTGCAGCGCAAGAAAGCGTACGAGATGTGGGTTGCCACGCACCCGGGTGTAGATCCCGCCTCGTTCACCGAATCGTACGCCATCGAGGCGGCGGAGGCGGTGGGTGAATTGTTTGAAATTGATGAGACGACCCTCGCAGAATTCGGGCTCCCTGCGGCCAAGGCAAGGGAACGTCAGCGACGCGGCACGTCGGGCGCGCCGGAGGGGTGACCCAATTGGGACGCCTGCTATCTCGCACGTTAGAATATTTCGTCTTCTCTGCCCCTCTTCTTCCCTCCTTTCTTTTTCCCCTCGCTCGCCTTGTTCGGTCTAGTTGGTTCGGTATGTATTTATTAGGTGCTCATGTACCAGGTCGTACGCACTAAAAGAACGTGGATTTTATATATATAAAAAAGACTACCGGCCCTCGACAGCACACAATTAATGTTTCTCTTTGATATCTCGACCCCGACGAGCCACCATCGATGCATCACCACCTAGTTCGAGCCATGGGAGCTACCCTGGTGCGGGCGGAGCATCTGCGTTCTCACTCCCGCCGATGCCACTGCACACGCCAACGCATCCCCTGCATTAGTTCACCACGCGCACTTCAGCAGTACCATTCCCGCGATCGACTCGATGCCCTCCGAGCCGCCGTCATCCTCGCACGGCCATTCGAGAGCGCACAGTCGCGTCCCTTTGCGCTCAACACGTCTTCGAACGACAACGGGTCGAACAACGGCAGCAGCGAGAACAGCTCTCGAGCGTGAGCTCTTTCAGCTCGCACCTATCTAGCCTATCTAGCTCTCCATAGGAGTTTGAGGTGGATCCGGTCGTTGGGCTGAAGCTTCTCATTGTGTGCGTACAAACTCTTCTACGATTAGAGGACACTGACGAATGTGTACCACAGCCAGCGGCCTTCCTCACCCTACACATCACTAACTTCTGCATGACACTCTCCCCAGCAACAGCTCTTGCACGCCGCCACAAGCGCACTCCCCGCATTAATTGGGACCGCTCTGTCCCCCTCTGCGTGTCGATTTCACCTCTCCCCAGGCTGCCACCGTCCTCTCCGCTCTGGCCGAACTGGAAACAATCATCGTCGTCAACGACGCTTCGAATGGTGTGAAGATTGCACTCTCCACCCACGTTCGTGCTATCCCAGCAGCTACACAGGTGCATCCTGTCGCTTCCACTTCCAGTGTGCTCTCCGGCTATACTAGTGCTGACGCATGGACGGCCAACGCTGGCGAAATCATTGGGAACTTCATGTCCGGCTGGTCCACCTTGGTCGGCCATCCAGTCGTGTCCAAGTGGACTGTCGTTCTCCTCGGCATCAGCGTTGCCCCCAGCGGCTTCTTACTGAAGGACATTGCCGCTGGTGTCGGCTCCCGGTTGTTCGTGGCAGTGTACGCCTCGCCCTCGTGCGCGCGTACCTGAGAAGGATGTCGAGAAAGTTTGCGAGTTCCCGAGGCCCGCCATCATCATGCTGAGCATTGGGCTCGTTGTCACCACCCCATCTACCCCGGTGCTCGAGCTTGATTCTCCCTCTGCTCTTCTCGACGGTCCTGCCAGGGAGCACAAGCTATCAATCCTCAACATCCCAGTTGATCTCATCACTGTCGTCGCGAAGCTTGAGAGGGAGCATTTCCTTATCGAAGCTGTAGCCTGTGCCGAGCGTGCCCGCAACGACCCGACCTGACCCGACCGCTCGACGAAATCATCATCATATTCGAGGACGGTTCTCGCCCAGCATTTACGAGCCTATCGCTGCTTATGGACGAAGAGGTAATCCTTCTGGTCCATAATGGCAAGATCGCCGCTCACGCACTTGAGAAGATGCTTGGGGATTTCGACAGGGTGATCACGATCCGTCGTGCACTGATCTGTAAGCACGCAGATTTATTACTCAAAGATAACTCGTAGTGACCTAGCAACAGCTCGTGCTTCGAGGACCAAGACACTTGAGCAGTCGAATGTCTCCACATCATCGGTTACATGCGCATCTCACTTGGTATTGCTGGCCCTCTGAAGGTCAACGGCGAAAGGCATCCCGTTCTCATGGCCACCGCCGAGGGCGCACTCGCTGCTTCGACCTCGCACGGATGCAAGGCGCTCAATTCCGGCGAAGGTGACACTACCATTGTCACCTACGATGGCATGATCCGCGAACCTGCCATCGACCTCCCGAACAATGTGCAGGCCGCCGCCGCTCGCGTATGGATCGAGAACTCTGAGGGCCATGCCATTGCCAAGGAGGCCTTCGAGTCTACCCTCCCGCTTCGCTACGCTCCAGAGCGTCAAGTGTGCCATGGCCGGTCGCACGTTGCGCGTTCGGTTCAACGACCCGCACTGGCGACGCGATGGGTACGAATACGATCTTCGAGAGCCCCGAGGGCCTCTCGCTTCGCCAAACTCTAGAGCGTCAAGCGTGCCATGGCCGGCCGCACGCTGTATATTCGTTTCACAGCACGCATTGACGACGCGATGGGCACGAACATGGTCTCGAAAGCACGGTCATCCAGGCGCAGTAGGTGGTGGACGCGTGCCTGTCGCATCTTGCATTCACTGACGCGCTCCGCAGATTGATTCGTTCGGCAACGTCATATGTTCCGTACAATCCTGAGATTTGGAAAGACCTCCTGGCCCTGACGGGCGCGCTCGAGCAGAGTCTACTCGACAACTTCGCCTTAATCCGGCCAGCTTACCTGTCCGAGGAAGACGCGAGGAGACGTCCATGCGCAGCGGCTTTGCGGCGCCGACATTTGGCGTGCTACACCTACGACCCCAGAGCCCAAACAGACCGCCGACGCCGTCACGGTCGCAGGGCGGGGGGCGTACTCTCTGCGGGCTTCAAGCTTCGAGCTCTTTGAGCGTTCTCCGCCGAGGAAGTGCACCCCGGGCGTCGGTGTCGCTGGAAAGTTGCCATCGAGCGGGTCGAAGTCGAGGTCGTGCTCGATTCGCCCGGGATCCCGAGCGAGCCGAGTGAACACTCGCGCTTGGAGGTTCTCAGCCTCCGCCAGGGCCTCTGCTCTGTTGCCTGCAGCTAGGAGGAACGCGACGAGTGTGCGATTGCGATCTACAGTGCCAAAGCGTCACTGCTGGTGTCGCTCGACATCATGCGCCTGAAGTTGACGCTGGCCTTATCTGCCTTGGCGAGCCACTTCCGACATGCGCTGTAGGGTCCGCCGTACCTGCCAGGGAAAGAATCTGCGCGAAGCAAAGCGAAGTGGAGCGGCCCATATCGTCACGCTGAATGCCGAGACCGACAGCTGCGCGTGGTGCGATGAACAATTGGCCGGCAAAGGCGGTAGCTACCGGGGCTGTTCTACCAAGGTACGCAAGGTGTCTGCTGTTGGTTATCGACGTTGACCTCCACTTTCTCGGGACGATTTTCGTTGAGGTATCAGACAGCATGAAATTGATGCGGCGGCGCAAGTTCACCCGCGTCTGTGATACCGGCTTCAGCATTCTTTCCTCTACAATGAACCCCACGCCCAGGTCTGTGGCCGCGATAACGATATCCCGTCCTATGCTCTTTGTTCGATACCGAGCTGACGACGAGATGACAGCGTTCCAAGGCTAACCTCCATAGGCCTCTGATACTGCCGATGCCCTGGCGAAATACACCCCTGCGATTGACAGGGTTCGCCACCTCGCAAATACGTGCGGGTGAGAGGCACACGTTCCAGGTGGGCTGGAGAAATACACCCTTGCGATTCACCGATGGATTATGCATACCAATCGTAGTAGTAAAAGTGCCTTTGTCGACCATGTAGACTACAAGGTAATATTCGCAAGGTTTGCCTCTCTGCGCTCATTAATAGCTATCTTGGGACAGATATCTCTGTACCCTTCCGGAAGCTTGATATATGTCCCCTTGTCGGAACTCCCTGTTGCCCAAATACGGTCACTGGATGACCATGGCAGCCATGTCAGCTCACGGAACTGAACGAGCAGTTTTCCACGTATAGTTTTTTGGCCGCCTATTCTCACTTTGGCCGTGAGGACCAGCCATCGCGTCCAGTAACTGCACGAGCCATAATGGTAAGTGGTCTTCGGCCGTTGTTTCTGCATATCGGTGGTTGGGAAAAATCGGTTAAAAAAGGTGGTCTCCCAGGTTGAAGGGGATGCAGTCTTCACTATGGCGCAACGGAACGGCAGCTGAGACGATTGATACAGGTTCTCTGTTGCCTGATTTTGTTCCTCGTGTGGGAGCGTGCAGTAGTTTTCTTTCTTGCTCCGCGGGATAACTGCAACGATATCTCGCAGAAAATCGTGCCAAATGCCGTTGACTTCGCGATCAACATCTCCCGCATCTCCATGTTCGTGGGGTAGTTCGCTCATAGTAAGAAGAGGTCGCAGACTGACGCCAGCATCGGCCAGTCCGAAGTCAATGTCGCGTTCTGGTGAATGCCGCGGCGGGCCAGATGGTACCTTTCGCCGCTTCCTCGTCGGACCTGAGAGCTTACGCTTAGCTTTCTCGCTGCTTTGCATGAATAAGAGCTCGAGTTCTGGAAAGGTGGGCCGGTTATAGATGAGCGCGTAACTGGCTGCATTGAGTGTACGCTGTTCAGGAAGGGCGAATACGTCGTGGCGGTATCTCACGTCGGAGACAAAGTAAAGTCCTCGCTGTTCGATTGTAGGGACCATCCGACCATCAGCTACTATCTCGTCCAATTCGGCCAAGTTTTCATCGTCGTCGGCTTCGGCTTCGGCTTCCCACAAGGCCGCAGCGGATACAATTTCATTGTCCCAGCTCTGCTCCCCGGGACGGAAGATGTGCGAGTTCTTGATCCATATGGCAATAGCCCCCATTCCTAACACTGGCCGTAACACCCGCAGCTGTGGTGACGCTTCTGTAAGAGCCTCGAAAACGTATTTGACGGCCGCAAGCCTCCACCAGCGGAATTTCCTATTCATTTTTAATATTATTTCACCTTCAGCCTAGAAGTATCTGCTTACCACCAAATTGTGGGATCAAATCCAACCACTGCAGAATTGATTAAGTCCCGACGCATATCCCTTAACTTATGCGCCGGGTGCCGGCTTTGATGGATAGCCTTCAGCCTAACCTCGTACCGAGCAGCTCCTTCCTGTTTCACACCGCCATTTCCGGAACAGGTGTCATAGAGGTTACCAAGAGTCTCGATATCTTTAAGGAACCCTCCCATGCGATGCGGCAACAGGTCTTCCGCTCTGTGTCGCCTGAATGAGCCTCGGTGGAGCTGGTATGTGGCAGATTTGTCTGTTGTGTAGACATTGACATACTGCACATAGTCCTCAGCTCCGACAGTTGGAACTTCAACACGGAATCCAGAGAGATCATACAGGAGGGAGGAAATATCCTTTTTGAAGCGAGAGCCGTCAACAGTGGAGGTAATCTTTTCGGGAGCTGCATGGGGAAGGGCATACTGAAGTAGCTCCTGGTGGCAACTTGTTCTCCACTGGAGTACTAAGTCAGGCGATTGGATCTCCAGCCCGATATCGATATACCATTCATTTTCGGCATGAAACATGTTATCCCTATCGATAATCTTGAAGGTATCTTCTAAAGCCTGGTCGCATGCATCTGTATCTTCTGGGGAATGTAAAGTAGCTGATTTGGTTCCTCGCCACTCGTGAACAAAGAAGCTGTTCTTGAAGTATGTGTGGCGATCTAGATTGTTCCTGAGTGCATCACAGAAGACAGAAAGAAGATGAGGGGGGATGTCGTGTCTGCTGAAGTGAAATTGTTGTCTTTCGTCTCTCATGGACATAAGGCATGCACGATAGTTAACCGGCCAGTGAGAAATGGACTGGGGGAGCACAGTTGCAACCGCAGGCCTAAGGCAATTGTCGTAGAACATCTCCAATTCCTCACTGGTGACCCGCTGGTCTTCTCCACGCTGGTACATGTGAGGGAAGAAGACCAGAGTCTTCTGACGCAGTTCGGCTGTGGAAAGACAGATGTTGGGGATCTTGTGTAGGTCCACCTTCATTGGGCGATCCCATTGCTAGGCATGTTATCAGATGGCTTTAGTCACCTCACGGCATATTGAACTGCTCACCGATAAATGTATGAACTTTTTCAGATGGTTGGACTTTGCTAGACTATCCCTGAATGGCGCGGCGGGGTAGACAGCGAGAGGTATTCGGAAGGGCAAGTTGGTTGTAACACCGATGAGAGAGTCAAAGTCTCGAGTGAGCGTGATATTGCTGAGGTCGCTGAGTGATATGCAATCTTTGAAGACATCGATATTGATTCGCTTTTCACCTTGAGCTGTGGATATTCTGCCGGCAAGAGCGAACTTCACGAAGGCTGGAATAGCCCGCGTCGCCGCTCCCTGGTGGATGATGGCTTCCGCGTAGTTGACGAATTCTTGCAAGGACCACGTTTCTGTGGGGAGCTCTTCGTCTGGATACTGGGACATGGTCGTTCACGCGTTCACGTCCTGCGTTTTGTGGAGCTGAAGTAGCAAGTCGATTTATCGTAGACAATGGTATGGTAATAACCGAGGGCGACGTAGCGCTTTAAAGACCAGGCGCTCCGGGGAGGTCAGTTCTTGACTCAGCCCCTTCTCTCTAAGGTAAGTACGGATGTACTGATGGATATTTCGCCAGAATATACCGGTCAATTGACGTGCAGACACGTCAGGGAAGTGCACGCCCATCTCGCTCGCCGTTTGACAAGCTCCTCCACACGACCCAAACCTACCATGTCAGACTATCAGACTACACCAATCGCACCTCAAAATATTGCACCTCAGAATATTGCACCGCAGGACGGTGGCTCCGGCACAGCTCCCGAGCCAGCCCGGGACGTCGAGCCGGCACCGATCACAGAGCAGGAGGTGGGTGAATACCGAGAGCAAGACCGTTTCTTGCCAGTGAGGTACTTGCCTCAAGATTGGTCAACTGCTAAGCTGATGGCCGGTTCAAACAGATAGCAAACGTCTCCCGCATCATGAAGGCATCTGTGCCCGGCACTGCCAAAATCTCGAAGGAGGCCAAGGAGTGTGTGCAAGAATGCGTCTCCGAGTTCATCAGCTTCATCACTTCCGAGGCGGCCGAGAAGTGTCAAATGGAGAAGCGCAAGACCATTGGTGGGGAGGAGACTCTCTGGGCCATGCTCACTCTGGGCTTTGAGAACTATGCGGAGACTCTCAAGATTCATCTCGCAAAGCTGCGTCAGGTACGCTCCGAATTCTTGTACAGCGTGGGATGACCTAGCATACCACTCTGAAGCCCCAGAATCAGTCAAACGCGTCCGGCGCGAATGCACGACCAGATACTGGAACCTCAAGCGACGCACGCGAGGAATAGCTCGTTGTCGCAGTATGCACCGTGTAACACCGTACCAGTCTCACTCTCAGCACTGTTGTAGACTGCTATGACTCTGGCTTCCCAAGAGCTCTTGACGGAAAATGACCTGCGACTCCGCCGATGCTTCGTACTTATCTCGTGTCCTCTGCACGTCGATACTCTCTTGCATAAAATTGTACTGTTTGTACCATACAGCTTGTGACTTCCACGTTAAATTTCACCTTTACCCTTGATGGAATGCTGCTTTGCTTGCAAAGTGCTATAAGCTTGAATACATGCGTAATGACCGCATCGTCGGGCGCCTTAACTCTGACCTTCGCTTCCATCATGCCTTTTGGCGAAGTCGTCTGTGGTGCTCCAGGCAGCGGCAAGTCTACGTACTGCTACGGAAAGAACCAGCTATTCAACGCACTCAACAGGCCCATTGCCATTGTCAACCTCGACCCTGCAAATGATAGTATCCCGTACCCCTGCGCAATAGACATTTCGTCCCTCGTCACGCTTGATGCTGTCATGCAAGAGCACGGCCTGGGTCCGAACGAAGGAATGCTGTATTGCATGGAGTATCTTGAGGCAAACTATGATTGGCTCGAGGACCGACTGAAGAAGCTCAGCGACGACGCCTACGTTCTCTTCGACCTTCCAGGCCAGGTCGAAATCAGCACGAACCACGAAAGTGTGCGGCGTATAATACGCCGGCTGACCAAGAACGGGTTTAGGGTGCGTCATGCGTACATTCCGATGGAAGCTTAGACTGACCAAGCCGTACCCTAGCTAGCTGCCGTACATTTATGCGACGCACACTACGTGACGGACGCCTCAAAGTTTGTTTCTGTGCTCATGCTCTCGCTACGCGCAATGCTACACCTCGAGCTTCCGCATGTCAACGTGCTCTCGAAGATAGACCTGATTGCGCAATACGGCGAGCTCGGTGCGCTCTAGCCGTCGTTCCCCGCCACGTGCTCCACGCTGACATCGTTCTATAGACTTCAACCTCGACTTCTATACCGAGGTTCAGGACCTGGCATACCTGGAGAATGCACTTACCGCCACATCTCCGCGATACAAAGAATTAAATATGGCTATATGCTCTCTTGTAGAAGATTTCGGCCTCGTCGGCTTCGAGACACTTGCGGTCGAGGTCTGTACATCCCTATTCTCATGCCCTACACTGCGCTAACACTTGTACAGGACAAAGAGTCCATGCTCCACCTGATGCGCATTATAGATAAAGCGACTGGCTGCGTCTTCGTTCCGCCACCAGACGCACGGGTTCCGCAGGGTGCAGTGAACAATACTGGTGCTCCGCCGACGCAGAGGCCGAACATGTTTAGCCTCATGTCGAGCGCTATAGGCCCGATGCCTGGACCACGCAGCGACGTGCGCGACGTCCAGGAGCGCTGGATCGACGCGCGAGAGGAGTATGATGAGTGGGAGCGTGCGCAGTGGCGAAAGGAAGGAATTGCAGTACAGGAGCAGGCGCGGAAGAAAAATCACATACGGCAGCGTGGTGTACAAACTCGCGATAAAGATATCCCAATGTCGACTTCATAGGAGTTCATTCACACCGTGTAAATTAGAGAACAAGACCGCTCAATTCAATATTTCAGAACTCTACCCTTTTTCGAGTCCAGACTCTACGAAAGGAATAACACTAAAAACATTTATATGATCTCCTGGAGATAGACTAGAGGGCCGTTTCGAACGCTTGTCGAGGGTCGTACAGTTGCATGATAAGCTGCTTCACACCAGCCATCCACAAACCAATATCATCTGTCATAGAACCAGTCCTGAGGAGGTCGATGTGGATCGCAAGTGCGGACTCGCGATCTCGAGCTTCCATAGCTGTGAAAGTACGCGTGAGCAAGGGCAGAGGGAAATGAGACGGTAACAGGACATACCGCGTGTTAGCTCTAAGAGCTGATCGCAGACCGGTTTCGACAGCATTTCGCAATTGAGAGCGTCGAACAGCGGGTTAATGCGACGTTCGAGGTCATCAGCGAGACGCTTTTGCTGAGGCTTGGAGGCTCATAATTAACTTCAACTTGCACACCGACCGTGATAAAACTTACTGGAGTCGTTTGTTTGACGATCTCGAGCTGTTGGGAGATGATGTTGAAGATCGGCCTCAGGTGATCTGGGATGTGGCTCCTATCGCCGGGAGCTGTTGGCACTATCAGCTCAACGTCTTAAAGTGCTTGGACAAATGAACACATACGATATCTCGGCTGCGGTGGGCCCGGCTTCGCCTTCGGCGGCGCGGAAGGGGCGAGTTGTCCGGACCCAGGAGGAGGCGCCATCGAGGGAGCACCAGCAGGTGGCATACCGAGCCTCGCGGCGCCACCAGGAGGCGGAGGCGCGAACGAACCCTGTTGCGGCGGTAGCGCAAAGCCTCCCTGCGGGGGCGGCGGAGCATACCCGCCTTGCTGAGGGGGTGGAGGCGTATACACACCCGGCTGCTGCGGTGGCGGCGTTCCGCGTGTGAGCGCGGGTGAAGGCGTGCCACGCATCGGCGGCGGCCCAGGCGGAAGATGTGTTGGAGCCGCAGGGGGCGTCTGGTGGGACACGTGGCCGCGAGGCGGAGGCATGGTAAATTGCCCCTGCGATGACGGGCCTCGACTGAGCCCAAGGCCCTGCGATGGCGACATCATGTGCGACGGCGGGGGAGCCGTGCCCTGTGGGGGTCCCTGCGACGGAGCACCATGCGGAGGGTATGGTCCAGGTGCTTGTTGAGGAGGGGGAGGCATACGCTGGCCTTGTGGTGGCGGCGGCGGTCTCTGCTGCACGCTGCCTGGGCGTGGCGGTGGCGGCAATGCTGTCGGTGGCTGTCCATGTGTTGGGGTGGGGGGCATAATGCCCTGCGATGGCGCATTAGGGAAGGGGGATATGATTGCCGAAGGCTTACTGGCGTTTGTATTCGCGTTCGCAGGCGTACGGCGCGCGGTAACGTGAGCAGGCACGTCGTTCCATCCACCGTTGTCGCGCTTGATGACAGGACCCTTCGGCGGAGGGGCTAAAGGAGCTGATGGAGTGCTACGGCGGGGTGGGGGAGGCATAGCAGGCTGCTGATTGGGCACGGCCGGTTGGCCATATGGTCCGGACGGGTATCCGGACGGTGCTGGTGGCTGGTGACCTGACTGGCCCGGCGCGACAGGTCGTGCGCCATATTGAGTAGCAGGAAGAGCATACGCAGGAGCTCCACCATAGGGGCCGTACGTCGAGGGTGCCTGCATGGGAGCGAGCGACTGGGACACGAAAGTCTGCTGGACCTGGGCCGGCGCACCATAGGATGAACCAAATCCGTACACGGATGTGCTAGAGGAGATGGGCGCTGCCTTGATAGGAACGGTTGAAGGGTTGGCAATGGTAGAGCTACTCGGAGCCGCACTAGAACCAGCGGCAATCTGAAGTCGTCTACGTCCTTCAGTGAAGTCGAGATGACTACCAGGAGAGCCGTGGTAACCAGAAGGAGTTAACTTGAGGAACGACAGGGCCCCTTTGACGAGACCTTGCGCAGCCAAGAGATCAGCGTATTCAAAGTAGCGGTCGTAGAGAGCAGCGAGCTTATACGTTCTCGCCTCTTCCTCTTCGGGGCTGGCATGCTGAGAAAGATCTGTGTCTTCATATTTGATGGCCCTGCGGAACACGGTGACCTTCTCGATGAAGGTCTGTAGCGCGAATGCGTGTGCGGTATATCGCGATCCATGGAGGCTTTCCTTCTCTTCAAGAGAATACGCTTCCTCTTCAGCCAACTCTTCGATCCAGATGTTGACAAGTCTCTCCAGCCTACCAGCAGCCAAGTATGTCAAGGTAGCGTTCTTGCGGAACTCGAGTGCGCGTTCTACAGCGTCAGGCGCAGTAGACGTTTTGGCAAGACTCGCCTGGAATTCGAGGCGCTGACCCAGCTGTTCGGCCAGGTTCGCGAAGTCGTCCTGGCTGGCGAAGGTACATAGCACTACGAAGATTTCCTGCCACTCTTGTAAGTCGGCATTCTGAACGATGTCTTCGAGGTCGTCAGTGACGATAGACTGGAATAGACGCAGGTAGGGAAGCTCGGCGGTTCGACGCTCAAAGTAGGCCTTTTGCGTTCGTTGGAGGAGTTCAGGGACTGCAAGAAAAATCGCATCCGCAAAACGCTCGCATGATAAGCAGCAGTGTTGGGACTGACCCTGGGTCTGACCGGTCTGACCCAAAGGGGTCAGTCGGGTCAGTCAATCGTTGACCGGTCAGTCGGCTATTGCCGAGGTCGGGCTTGATTTGTCAGGCCGTTTATGTGAGGTCATCGTCAATGTTATAGCCCTCGAAGATGGCAGCGAGGAAACTTCATTTCTCGCGGGCCTGGCATAAATTCCTTGTCACTGAATAACATTCATCAAGCTCCCTGAGATCCGCTAGGTTGTTTCGTAGCACGCTAGGTAGCGGTATCGCCGTCGAAGCTGCACTCTAGACACGAGAGCAGCAGTGTGAAGAAAAATCAAAATATATTTTGTTGTCAGGAGTACGTAGCGTTGAGACTGTTGTTGCCATCATTACCTGCTCCCTTGAGTCTGCGCCGACCCCGACGGCATCGAGCAGCCTCGAGCAGCCTGGTTGTTAATGGACGCTCAGCGGCTATTTTGGGCGCCTGACCCTACTGACCCGTCAACTGGCGGCCGGTTGACCTGACCGGTCAGTCACTTCTGACCCCCACTGACCCTGGGTCAGTCTGACCCTCCCATCACTGATAAGCAGAGCGACACAGCAGACTCAAAGTCGCCGAGAACGAGCGCCTTGGTTACCAGACGGTCGGTCTCAGACTCATCGGTCGGGTAGATCCTGAAGATGTTGTTTTTCAAGGTATCAGAAGCTACTGACGATGGGCGAGAGCCGATAGCGGCAGCGACAGACGAGTCGACTGGGTAGTTATGATGAGGTATATCGACATGCGGCTCGTCCGACCGCGAGGTGCCGATGCTGCCGAAAAAGTCTGCAGCAGCATCTGTTTGAGGCGTGCCCGCAATTTCATCACCAAACAAGCTAGGGGCGGTCGTGGTAGACTCGCCGTCGGCATGGTGGGTGGCATCTGATGCTGCGCCGGTGCTCACTTCCGACGGGGTCGTCTCCGCAGCCAGTGCGTTGAGGTCGCTCTCTTCAGCTTCGTCAGCCTCCTCCGGGGTAGGCTCACGCTCGGGTTCTGCGAAGGAGACAACAGGTTCGCGAGGGCCAAAGTCGGTTTCCGTCACGTCCTTCTCAGCAGGCGCCGCTTCACTTGCCGTAGACGCCTTCAACTTCTCGACAGCCTCAGCCACACGGGCTTTGATTTCTTGCTTTGAGAAGCCCAAGAGGGTTATCAGCTCGTCGCGAGAGTTGGCCTTGAAGAGGCTAAACAGTGCCTTCCGTCCCGCAGAGATCTCGTGAGGCTCCTGCGCGCTCTTCTCAGCGGCAAGAGCGTCGAGCCCGTCGCTCTCGATCGCAGACTGGAGCTTCTCGACGCGCTGAACGACGGCGGGTTCAGTGGAGACTTTTCTGATGTGCACGACCCCGCTTTGATGTTTGCCGGAGGCACCAGGCAGATTCGAAACGCTGACGAGCTTGCCACTGTAGCCGAAAGAAGCAGAAGTTGGGCGACGGAGCCACTTCGGCGGCTGCTTGAGGGAAAGCGTGGCTTGATTTGCTCGCGAGAACCCCGCAGAGTCAAAGATGTCTGTCGCGTCTGTCGCAATCGGCGCAGAAGGCTCGGTGTGCTCATTGGTGGACTGGGTTGAGTGAATCCCGATGGTGCCATCGAAGAAGGCGGTGGCGAAAAAGTCGGGGTTGCGCGGACACCAGTCGACCTGGAAGGCCCAGTTGTCTGCAGAGGGGAGCTCGCCGATTATTTCTGATGTCTGAGGATTCCAGCACAAAGCACGATTGTCCTTGCCACATGAGAGTAATTAATCAGGATCTTGCTTGCACCATGAGAGCGAAAGGACGCCTTTCTCGTGTCCGGTCAAGATCTAGGACGGAGTGCATTAGATATCGCGTGATGTCGCGCAACACTCCGAACCGTACCTTCTCTGGAGCACGCGCATTACGAAGATCCCAGACCATGATCACGGGTGACGTGTCATCTTCCGAGGACATGACGAGACGCGTCGCCTGATCACGCATGTAAGTAAGTGTTCAGGCAGCTATATTAGCCAACGCACGTTGTCTGGGTGCCAAGCAACATCGCTCATTCCGCGTCTGCCTCCGACAGCAAGACCTGCTCCGAAGCCTTGCACACCTGCTTGGGCACCCGCACCACCTCCATAAGCTAGGGCGGCAACCTCTCTCTTACCCCGCAGATCCCAAACCACAGTGTATCCCGTGCTGCTGGAGACCGCGAGCGCATATTGAACATGGTGGTTCCAGGCTAGTGACGTGATTTCATCGAGCTTTGTACTACGCGTCCCTGGAGAGTAGGGTTTACTAGGATCTTTCAAGTCCCAGATGTAGATCTACAAGACAGTTAATAATTTGGCGAAGCATTCTACTACGTAACGGACCTCTCCATTGACTGCACCTGACCCGACGAGGTTGGTCTGGATGGGATTGAAGTCAAGCCCGCGCACTGGGCCTGTATGCGCCTTGTTGCGGAGCACGAGCGATTCTGAAACACTTAGAATACGTGTAAGATAGACTTAGCAATAAATCGCAAAGGACATACTCCGCTTGCGCGAGAATCTTAGAAGGATCCCAGATGTCCAGCTCTCCGTTCTCCATGCCCGCCACGATGACACCGCGGTCGCGCCCACCATCGGTATAGCCCCAAGCGAGGCGATTGAATCTTGAGCTCGTCGTCACGTGCGCTTTAGCACCGGGCTGACCTTCGCCTCCAAGCTCGTACTCGTTCTTGTCCAGAAAGTCGGGCTCCCATATTTCGAGCTGGCCATTGTTACTAAACGACTCGTCTAGCGCTCCAGCCACTGTTCCCGTCGCCAGAAGCGGTAGCGACGGAGACGGCAACCATGCAAAGGTCGACGTCCTGCGTATCTCCTTCAGTTTCATAGTGGAAGGGCGTTGTTAAGTGCTGTGGTCGTCCCGCAGACACGTATGACGAGGTAGTGCCAGACAAACCCACGATTATGCACAAAATCTTTCTAAGAGCATCTTCGCTGCTCCTTCATAATAGATGCTTTCACGGCTGATGATGACCGCTAACAAAACGTACACGACTCTTGGACCCCGTCCACGGCGATGGACACCGAAAAGATTATGGCGTGTCTGAACACTGAGCTGCACAAACGGATCGTTGGCCGTGGTGCTGAGGAGGTACTTCTTCCCGCATTAGCCTCTCGTATCGTCGGCTGAACTCGGTTTGTGCCAGCTTATCACAAGAATCAGACATTCTGCCACCCTCGTCGCGCAACTGCCGCCATACTTGCAACGCGCCGCACGCGATGCTTACGCGGGGAGCTTGCGCTCCGTGTTCATTGCAGCAGCGTGCTGTGCTCGACGTTTACCGCTACTTCATCCGCTTCCCCGTACGTCTGCGCGTTCCGCTGCACTCTACCCAGCTCACATTGCATGACAGGTCCCCGACAAAGCGCTGGAAGATAAGCCGGCGTAAGATACTAAGGCCGTACAGAGCACACCTGCAACGCCTCGCTGCCGCGCACACCGCTACCCATCGCGGAGGACGTTGAGTGGGAGAGCAAGGACGACACGCTCTACGTCGCGCACAGCCGCCGGCTGTCTGCGTACGAAGCCGGTGTGGCCGCAGCGCTGGCGACGCCTATCGATCTCGATGACCCGCAGGCGAATATCTGTGGACCCGCAAAGGGGGTGGTGCGGGACGAGGAGGAAAGACAGGGTAGCTGACATGGTGCACATGCAGGCTTATCACTTACTAATTGCATTTCCAGAACGTTTGGTTCGAAAAGCGTTCTCAAGACATAGTCTTCCAGAATATAATGGTTTGGTAGCATGGTCAAGAGATAGTCATGAAAGAGAAGTTTGTATGTAAGCCGAGGATGTCGTCTCAGCTGTTCAGTTATCCCCCGCGGTATTAACCTCGAAAGGGTCGTCTGACTCAGGGGCAGTAGGATCATCCTCAAGCAGCTCCTCTCTCGCGCTTGCGTCATTCGTCTCCGTAGCGAAAGATCCCGCATTCTCCAACTCGTTTTCGTCCGGATCACGCACGACCTGGCGCAGCGACCCAGAGGGCGATCTGCTCGCACGCACAGCTGCACTACTTGCCCTGTGCTCATAGCTAACAACCTCCACAGACGGGCTGCGTCTGTTGGCTCTTGCGATAGCTGGCCGAACGCGGCTCGACGACGCGGCGGCGGTGGCCCGTGCCGTACTCGGGGCTTCGTCTTCACTCTCGACTTCTGTGATTACCCGGGGCTGCCGACTGCCATTAGTACACCTCAAGTATGTTCGTGGCGTGCGCGGCGTTGAGTTAATGGGTGTGCGCGGCGCTGGGCTAACGGGTGTGCGCGGCGCTGGGCTAACGGGTGTGCGCGGCGTGGGGTTAACAGGTGTGCGCTGCGTGGAGTTAACAAGTGTGCGCTGCATGTTCAGAGGCGAGCCAAACTTCTCGCCAGCTTCTACAGCAGGACTATGCCCTCGACCGGATGATTCTGGGAAATCGGGTTCGGGAATCTCTGCCTCCTCCTCCTCCTCTTCCTCCTCTTCGTCTTCCCTGAATGGAAGAGACTGCGTTAGACAGAAGAAATGTCAAAGTAGCTGCACCATTACCTCTTAAAATGCTTCTGCCGCTTTCGTGGAGGTGGGGACTCCTCCTCGTCTTCACTCGTGGCAAACTCACCTTGCTCGTCAGGATCTTCCTCCTCCTCCTCCCCTTCCAGGGCATATGTGTGTGTGTGTTTATTCAACCTGCGGTCGTTCCTGTAAGCTGTCTTTGATTTGACCGTGTAACCCTTCTCGGCTATAACTGTGTCAATCCTGCCATCCAGACGCACGCAATTCTTTTTGTAGCGTTCTTTCCAGGACTGCATTGGATGATTGTTCGCCAGCCCCCATAGGCCCTTTGGATACTGGAAACAACGTTCAACATTACGATTGCGCGGGAGTGCTTAGGTGCGCCTACCTCCTCGCCATGTGCTACGAGCTGCTTGTAGATCTTGACCCCGAAGCGCCCACCCGCACCCTTCTCAGGTACTTTCATTGCAATCCAATGGCACAGCATTTCTTCTTCTTCATCGGTGTAGCAAGAACGCCTTATACACATGTTTAAGTCTGCCTCGAATATACTGTGGTCGTGATGGACTTACCTCCCAGGATGGCGCCCGTGCATGGTTGTCCTGTCTCCGGGCAGTTCGTCCTGGAAAGACTTCCGTTCGATGCACTTCTGGATGAAGCCAGTGCCCTCTGCACGATGATCGGGATCATGGGCACAGTACCGCTTGTACCTGTCGAGTATGCCGTCATTCACGATCCAGACGTCGGCATCCTCGATGCGCTCGGAGACCTTGCCGCCATGTCGCTGTAACATAGGGAGCCGAACCACGATGTCAAAAGCGAATCGCACGCCACGGAGCCATATGCGCGCACCTCGATCCTGACCCCGACCCCCCTCGCACGTACCGCTTCTAGTCCGCCTTCCTCTGACGCGAACGTACGACCGGTGACAATGAAGAACCTGATGGGTTTGCCCTTTTTGTCGATGAAAACCTGCAAACTTGTGTCAAGAACGAGGCAAAATCATCGAAGCAGGCTCTGCACCAACCTTCGTATATCCAGGCATGCCGTCCCCGCTCTTTGGTGACGCTGTTCGCACCATTCAATACCGGCGGCCGCGCGAAGTGAGACTACTTGTCTCAAGACTCGTCCAGTAAGCAGTAACAACACTGCAAAATTACCCTTCGGAGGACCTGTCGTAACCAACAGGAGAGCCGCAGTTCAATGTGGGCGATTTCGCGTGGTGGATGGCAGAAAAGGCGCAAAGTGCCCGGGGCGCGCTAAACCTCAAACCCCAACTTCGGGTAGCGTTGCCGACAAGCGGCCCCACCTGGCACTTAGTGTATCAGCTTCGAGCCTGTACCAGACGTAAATATACTTTGTCTGCAGTAAACCGAAAGATATAAAACTTCTAACTCCCAGCCCATATTGTACAACTCAACTTAACTTAGATTTGAGTGCGACCAGTGCTGCGGCGTTCAAACACCAGCCGCCGCCTTGAAAGCCGCAAATTTTTTTGGGGGTGCCTGTAGTAGCCGGGAAGTCGTTGGTGTTGCACCCCAGGTTATCGCCAGTCGTGATGTCGTGGAACGCGCCGGGGTTGAGGAAGCCGAGCGGGCTCTTGCCGGCGGCGATGAGGGCGTCGTTGATGAGCGCGATGTTGCTCGCGAAGATGGGACTCGGGCAGCTCGTGCCGTCTACGAGCTCGACCTCGTCGTCGATGACGACCTCGAGGCCCACACCAATCGCCGAGACGTCTGGGAACGCGCGCCCTGAGACGTTTCCGACATTGTACCTTTGTCTCGTCTGTGAGCGTTCTCCGTTAACCTGAAGCTTTGGATTTGGGACAAGTCTCTGGATCGAACGTGCGCATGCGATAGAGAGGTATGTCACGCTTTCATGATTAGGAATGGGGAGGGTAGGTGCCACTGGAAGGGTGGATGGTGCTGGAGAGGCGAGAGCCAAACGGTGCGACGTCGCGGGGAAGTGGGGAAGGATGAAGACCGTGCAGATGGCGGTGAAGATCGTGAGCAGGAGCCAGACGGTGTGGCTGGGCCCAGTGATGTGCGGACGTCCGTCCAAATATTTGGACGAGATAATGCAAGAACATAGAAGTCAACTGGTTCAAGTAGATTTGAGCGGCCTTGCCGAACGGTGTGCCTGCCCTCAGCCAGTACGTCGAACGCGTAAAGACCTTCGCATGCAGAGCCTCCGGACGTCTCCCACCAAGTGCACTGCGGCCGATCTGGGACTAGCACAGGCCAAGTTGTAGTGCATGGCAGTGTGTCCGGGCCTAGTCTATAGCCCGCGAGGCCCTCTTTCTTCCACGCTGCTGCCACCCGTCACACGCTTCCGAATGCCTCCTTCCGCCTTTTCACTTCTGTCTGCAACAAAGCAGACTTTGACCTCGGGCTCCCAAGTGCCATGGGCGCCATTCGCGTCCTCGATTCGCGCTATGTGTAGGATACCGGTCAACCAATTCTCACACAGACGTTACTATTACGGTGTCTTCTTTCCCAAGAGACGAGGCGTTGAGTAGCGGTATCATTTTCTTTTTCAGCTGAATCGCGTGCAATGGAGACCCAAGTCGTTGTACGACTGGCAAGGAACTAAGACGTGAACGCGATATCTATAAAGAAGGCATCAGCTGCCACATCTCCCGTATGTACGGAGATCACTAACTTACCGGCCGGCTTTCATGATAACGATGCCAGATCCACTCCTCAAGGCCGAGAGCAATCTCGTCCGCATGAGAGAGAATACGCCAGTGGTCTGCGTCACACTCATTTATAGCCACACTATGCTTGCTGAACACCTCCTGCGTAAAGGACGCGTAGCCGATCTTGAGAAGGCAGACATAGTCGCGCTTCGCCGCGCCAAAATAGATTTGCGCATTGGCCTGCGGGAAACTTGCACTCTGCCGGTACCTCTGCAGCAAACCGCTTGCATCAGCCACAGCGAGTGAATATCTCCGCGGGAATTTGGAGGCGCACGCTGGTTGTCCTTGGCGGGCACCTGGCTCGTTGCGATCTTGACCTAACCAGTCTACTACTGGCGCTGCTACCGTTCTGGGTCGCGGTATTGTCTGTTGTATAGAGCGGGGGGAAGCAGAAATTCGCGTTCTGGTGGCATGAATTGCTGGACTCGGGGGGAGGGCGCCGCGCATGAAGAGCACGTCCAGGTAATGACTCGGAAGGTAAGAAAGAGGGAGCTCCGTTGGGCAGCGAGCAAGGTTAGGGCTTGATCATGGGGTGCAAGGATGCATCGAGCGAATCTGTGACTGCAGCAGGCTGTGAGCGACGAACAGATTGAACGGCGGTTAGACTTACTATCAAAAATAGGAGCATATCGGCGGCCTGCCGATAAATTAGAGACCTTCCGGAGATGCTGCCAACAACACCCTAGAGCGACGAGAGGCATTTGAGGCTCTGTGGCGCTATGACTTCGAGCCAGCCTAGGAGAGCTCTGCGGGACAATGGGAGCATCTGGACTCGCCAGGAACGACGTGGAGTTGGGGTGTTTGAAGATAATGAATTGTACGCTGTAAGGACTTGACAAGGAAGAGACGAAAGGGTGCACGGCGATCGGTATAGGAAATTAGAGAGCGAGATCAATCGGGGAGGTAGACAGAGGCCGCACTGCGACTTGAAGCTTGAAGCTTGAAGCTGTGAAATTGGCATTGAATAGAATGGGGGAGGGAAGTCCCAAGCACAGATCGCCGCCGCTGAACGCCGACGTGAGCTCAGCGCAGTCATGGATGGATGAAGAGCGTCCAGCGAAGCAGAGGTAGTAGGTGTCGGGAAGCGCTGTCGAGGAATTAGATGCCTCGCAGCGAACGCTAATACAACAGACGGTTGGGTACGCTAGCAAGCTTACGGAAACATAATTCCTCAGAGACACCAAGGATTCAGAGGGTTCCGTCACGCCACATGAGCACTTCTGCCGTGGTGACATTTCCGGTATGCTGGAATCCTGGAACGCATCAAGAAGGGTGAGCTCGATCGATCATCACTTCAGAGCCTTTCCCGAGCCTCCACTAGCCACCGCCAGGCCGCATCAGCCTCAAGGACCAGGAAACTCAGTACCACAAATAATACCTGGGCCTTCGTCCTCGAACAAGATGCAAGGCACACTTCCATCGCCCGCAGTCGTATAGTTACCCGAATCCGCCGGTCCCTCGACGACCTCAAGGAAGTCGAGGTTGAGACGCCGATCATCGCTGGTGATGCGACCGCGAAGCTGTTCATCGCGCACCACAACGACCTCGACCTCGACTCGTACCTCCATATCTGAACTTCATCTGAAGCAGCTTACCGTCGACGGTCTGGACTGGGTGTACGAGATCGGGCGTACTTTCTCGCAACGAGAGCGGCGACCTGACGCACAGCCCCCGAGTTCTTGGTCTGCAAGGACACGTACGACGTCATGGACATTACCGAGAGCCTGATCGAAGGTGCTGTGAAGTACCTCACTGGCAGAAAGACGACGCTCGCGTTCCACCTCGAGGGCAGGGACAGCAAGAAGGTGTACGGACTGGACTTGAAGCGGCCATAGGCGCGATGCGACATATTCACGACGCTGGAGAAGAAGCTGGATTTTCTGGCGAGGGAGACGCTACACACCGAAGAGGCGAACAAGTCCCCGCATGGGCTATGCCGGAAGGCCTGTTTTTTCACTCGCTGATATTACTATGAATGCTCAACGTCCTGATGTAGCATAATGTCGAGCGCAGGAAAACCGGACGAATACGAATACATGCTTACCGGCGAGTTTATCAAGCCTCTGCATCTCCCCCGCCTTCATCGGTAAGCTCATTCGCATAAATGTTCATGGTGCGTTACTGACAGCTGGACAGTCAGTCAACTGCAGGTGATGTCACCACTTACCAAGTGCCGCCAGCTGAACGATCCGTCGGAGCAACGGCTGTGGTCTGAGGAGCGGGCGAGGCAGAAGGAGCAGGCTGACGACGAGGCACAAGGTATCGACAAGAGTTCGTTGACGCGTGTGTATCGTCCTCTGCCGTATTTACATTTCATCTGATGTCCCGTTAAGGCAGTCTGAAGCTTCGCTCCTGCCGACGAGCAGGTAGGGCATTGGCATCGACTGCCTGGTGATGTTCCTGGCCGAATCTGCTCATACGTCTACCACTTCTCTTCTGGACCTTCCGCACTGTCGTTGACCATCTGTGCGGATTTCAGAGAGGTCTTGCTGTTCCTTGCAATGAAGCCAGTTGAGACTGCGGCCAGCACCACAGGTTCCGTTGAGCACCTTAGACAAGTTCACCTCGGCCTTCTCCCACACGCCGGGCAGCTGGGAGATAGTGAGCTTCCCCATCCTGAAAGAAGACTCTTTTCCTTTTGTGAGCTTCCAGGCTCTCCTCGACAACATCTTCCCCTCATCTGTGCCGCAGTTTACCTCCGCTGAGATCCGCGCTCATCAACCGGCCAGCGACGGACGCTATCCTTTTCCGCCGCTTCTCTCTCCTACTCAAGCTCCGGCAGCTGAACTAGGCCACGTTTCACATGTTGTTCTTGGCCTCGGGACCCGGTCAGGGCATCAAGGTCCTCTGCCTTTCGGGTGCAAACAACGTATTCAAGGGCGGCAGAATCGAGTACCACCGACGGCGTCTTGAGGGGCTTGTAGAAGAATTCGCGTGCGAGGATGAGGATGCAGGTGCTGACGCCGACGGAGACGGATCAGCGGAGGAGGATGACCGGGGCAGGGAGGAAGAGATATAAACCGTCCTTGGGATTGCTCGGGAGGATGAGCGCTTCTTCTACGGTCGACTCAGTGACCGTGATACTCGCCACCGCCAGTCAAGGCCTTCTGGTGACGATCGTCGCCGTCTCCCTACAAGCGAAGAACGAAGATTCAAGCTCAAGCCTGCCTCTCCTAACGACCGCCGTCCTATGATGTCCAGCAGTCGCCCGTGGCAAGCGACAGGCTCCGTACTACGCTCAAACCCGACGAACTAGAGGAGCCCACGGTCATTTCGCTATTGATGGCTATTGACCACCTTCCCCGGCGCTGGTCTGCATCCTTCGCCGCCCGATCTCATCTTCATCTCATCCAACGCGGTATTTTGGGCCATAAACAGTTCCATGATAGGCGAGAGCACAGGTCCCAAGCTTATACCCTACTTACTTCGTGAGGTGACGTATAGCAGCATCTGTCTGCGATATGAGGTCAGTTGCTTTGATTATTCTGTTTACGGCTAACTTACTCGCATATGCATGTAGGGTATGAATAACATCGGCTGGTTGACCCTGGAGCGTTGTTGTGAGTATCCGCTGCCGCTGCATGATCGCCAAAGGGTATGTGGGCCTCCAAACCATTTTAGTAGTGCTTCTGTGCTGATGTAGTCTACTCGCGGGCACATATCCAATGTACGCGGTACGTGAGGCCGGACATCAGGTATGCACAGCTGTTTCTCCATTTGTGTATACAGTAGCTCCGAACACCGAGGAACGCAATAATTGCTGAGTTCAAGATGCGTTATCTGTATCTTGTTAGCAATTTCGTGCTCTGCAGGCGAGCGCTCCCTCCTTTCCCTTCTCTCTTCCGATTCAAACCACTCTGGCAGATTCGCCCTTTTCTCAAAGTAGTTCAGCGCATATTCAAGCCTCCGACACAACAGAGCGACCTGCTTGGGCCCACGGCTACTTTCAACTTACGAACAGGAACTCGAGTACCCGCTGGGCGAAACCGGTGAGTAACCAGCATGATACTCGTGTACAACATGCGAATGCGTTATATTTCGGATGACTCTGTCGCACAGCCCAGACACCGTCAGTGCAGCCTTCAATGGCGCGCTGCAGCCCGTCAGAGCCGTCGGTATTCCTGCCACCGCAAGCGTTGGGACGACCGTAGAGCGCACCCGCCGCGCTTTCCGCCATTGCCGCTGCATTGTACGTGTGCCCTCAACTCAATGCTAATGCGCAGCTGCACCTAATCAGTGTCGGGATGGGATGCCGTCAGGATCGGGAGCGACGCGCGTTTGCCGCTGTATACTACTTGCGTATTAGGGTGCTGTCTGGGCCCGAATATAATACATAAGTGCTTTTCGTTTCCGTTTCCGTTCTCATTCAATCGTGTGTGGGGGTTGTGCAAATGATGTGCTGACGGTATGGTGTTGGACACTGGAGGAGGACTCGACGTACGGGTTGGTGGTCGATAAATCAGGTCCGGTCCGCAGCCCTTTCTTCTGAGAGAGCTTTCTGTGTTGTGTTCGGATCACACGATAGGAGACTTATTCATCTTGGCAAAATGCAGGAGACGCGAGCAAAGGATCTAAAGTACACTTTGCCCAGGAGAGCTCTCTTATACGACGCCTGGTTCCGGGATTGTCAGCGAAAGCGGGGATAGTATTGCGAATAGAGGGAAGAGCCGATTGTGTACAAGACATACAAGACACACAAGTTATATGCAGAGGAAAGAACAGAGCCGACGAGACAGCGGAGGGGGCGAGAAGATCAGCGCAATTGACAAGCGTAGTGTACCTTAGCGTTTTCGGCCAGTGCTGGTCCCACCGACACGCCCGGTGCCTTGGGGGTTGGGTTTGGATTTGGACTGATTGGTCTTCCTGAAAGTCGGCAGCTGCTGGAAGCTGGACGTGGTGACAATCGTCTTCTTTCTCAACACATATTCCTTGCCCTTGCCCTCGCCCGTGTCGGTGGGCGGGGGAGTAGGGGGACGGTCTTTAGCGCTGGAAAAGACGTCAGTTGCCTTCTTGGCCTTCTTGCGCGGTGGCGATTGGTCGGATGGTGGGTCATCCTCTTTTCCCTCTTCCTTGTCAGCCTCGGGCAGGGGAGTCAAGCAGCTTGTGATTCCCTCGCCCATTGCCTCTGCATGCCGCTCAGATAGCTTCCGACTCAGCCCCGGAATGACAGGCTCGGGGACAATTCTGCGTCCGGGCGCTGAATGGCAAGAGTCAGCGTTTTTAGAACATAGTCCGAGCAAATATCGTCAATATAGCTCACAGAATTCCCGGAAGGACGCGTTTAGACCCTCAGTGACAATGTCGGAGGGCTGGGATGTAGGGGGGGTCAGTGCGGACGTCTGCGCGTCTTCCGCATCGATATTCATGTTCTGAGGAGACGGCGCATATTGTGGCTGTAGCTGAAGCTGATTCAACCCCTCGTCGATATCATTGCCATTGATACAGGGCGATCCCCGGGCTCCGTCATTTTGTTGGCCGGCGAAGGCGGGTCGTGGAGACGGCTGCGTTCGGACGAGCTCTTGTGCACGAGGGGAAGACGGTAGCGACTGGGTGCCGCCACCAGGAAGAGACGAGAAGGGTTCAGTCTCATTGTCTTGACCAGGGAGGGATGGCGCGGGCTCGATAGGCTGCGTCGCAGGACTGAGAGACGACGTCTGTGTACCATCGCTATCGATAACCATGTTGTCGCCAGACAACTGCGACTGCGATTGCGACTGCATCTCCTGCCCACGGGCAAGCTCAGGTTCAGGCCGGTCTGGCTCCTCCTCAAAAAGCTTCGGCGCACGAGGGGGAGATCGTGCCAGCTCGGTGCCGTTACCAGGAAGAGACGAGGATGGTTCAGTCTCATCGTCTTGACCAGGGAGGGATGGCGCGGGCTCGATAGGCTGCGTCGCAGGACTGAGAGACGACGTCTGTGCACCATCGCTATCGATAACCATGTTGTCGCCAGACGACTGCGACTGCGACTGCGACTGCGACTGCGACTGCATCTCCTGCCCGCGGGCAAGTATGGGTTCGAGCTGATCCGGCCATTGTTCGATATCATTGCCACTGGGCTGGAGCCGTCCTCCGGCCGCGTCACCTTGCTGGCCAGCAGAGGCGGGTCGAGGAGGCGGCTGCGTTCGGATGAGCTCCTGTGCACAAGGGGGAAGTTGTGCCGGTTTGGTGCTGCTACCAGGAAGAGATGGCGCGGGCGTAACAGGTGCCTTGCCCTTTCCTTTGCGCTTGCGAGCTTTATTCTTCACGCCTTCATCAGCCTTCTCTTCCTCTTCGTCCTCGAGCTTTTGCTGCTTCTTGAGCATCTCCTCGATCCGCCGCGCTGTACACAGTCAGCTCACTGGCTGACATAGCATAGCTGATGTAATGCTCACCAGTCGACGTAGGCTTGACAAAGTGTTCAAGCATCTCCCCTTTGCTCCACACAATATTATCCAGCTTCACCTCTTTCGCCTCCATTGCATCGAGATGGTAGACGAAGACTTGCTTGCGCTGGGGGCTGCGCCACAAGCGGCCGATAAGCTGTCGCTCGTCTTGACGCGACCAGAGTGCGGACTGCAGGAGGTGCGATCATCAACAGGCACGACCAAAACCAAATGCATTATGTACGTACATGAATGATTAGCACGTTTGCGCAATCCAGATTGAGACCAGAAATTCCGACGGCTGAAATGAGGAGCACTTCGGAATCGGCTGATTGGCGGAAGGCACGCAGGATGTCGCCACGGATGCGAGGGGGGGAGCTCCCATCGAGCTTCATGGGCTTAAATCCAGACCACTTCAAGACCTACAAATACGTCTGCATCAGCGAAAATTGAGCATAAGTCCTTGTACTTACCTCCTCGATGTAGTTGAAGCTGCCCGAGAAAGGGCAGTAGACAACAATCTTGTCTGGGGAGACTGAGTCTGTGAGCGGGGCAGAGGGTGCGGGTACCGCAGCAGGCAGAGACGCAGCAGGCAAAGACGCAGGGGCAGGAGATATAGGTGTGGAAGTGGCGGCATCGAGGTACGGAATCTTGAGCAATGAATTGTCGACGATCAATTCGTTGGTGTACAACTCAAAATTCTCAGTATCGGGAGCGATGTTAGAGCCGTTGGGACACTTATTGACAAGAGGAGGCCCGCAAATCTTGCCCATATGGTGTTTAAGAAGCTCGACAACGATATCGAGCTTGGTCGAGGGGGCCGCCCGATACTCGGTCTCGGTCTCGGGACCCTGCCACAGCTGTTCGTCCGCCTTCTTACCATTCTTCTCCTGCACGAACTTCGGATGCAAAAAGATCTTCCGAGCACCGATGTGAAAACGCTATCGAAAGGAATATTAGCCCATGACGTCGATATTGACTTCAGCTTGCCCAGAGCGAGCACAATTACAATTTCGACACTTACGTTCTCAAATCCCTCCAACCCCTCCGCTGATGTCAAGTCAATGAGCTTGTCGAGCGCTGTACGCTCATGCTGGTGGAGCTTGAGGTAAAGGGTGATCTCGGTAGGGGGTAGCGATCCCCAGATCGCATTGCCTTTGTAGTCAGGGCTGTGAATCGTTCGCCGAATTGCAGCGCCGCGAAAGATATCTTGCGCCTGTGTAATAAGGTTTCGAGTAACCTTCTCGACCTCAGTGGCCTCGGTTACCCGCTCGCCCTGCCTCGCCCGAGCTCGGTCAATCTCATGCCCCTTTCCCTCCTCTTTACGTTGCGCTGCGTCGGCTCGCTTCGCTTTCGCGAGCGCGGAAGTGAACGATTTCCACATGTCTTCGCCAGATTGTTTCTTCAAGATGCTCGCGATACTGAGCAGGTCCTGACCGGAATGCAGTTCATGTCAGCTCTCCGCAAGCTAACTATGATCCTGACACCAACAAACTCACATGCGGCTTTGTAACGACCGGTGTCGCCGTGAGCCCAATGACCGTGTCGACAAGCCGCGCCATGGCGACCGCTGCGTTCAGCCGTGTACCCCGGTTGCGGAAGTCGTGAATCTCATCGAGGACGAGCATTCCCGGACGGTTGTTCGAGTGGAAAAGCGTGGGGTAGGCATCTACGGGAGGTTTCAACAGTCTCGATGTATTTACCACCTGCGCAGCATCGGCAAAAAATGCCTGTAGGTGACGTGTAAGCATCCGCATGGTCAGGTAGCAGGCAGAAATGCAATGAACTTACAGATCGCGTGGCGATGATCACCTTCGCTCGGGGCTTCACCTTGCTGACCTCGTGGAAAGTCTCCCACCACTGCTTGCGCTGCTCGCGTGAGTATTGACCGGTGTAGCTCGTGAGCTCGATGCTACCATATTGGATCCAGCGCTGCATTTCATCGACCCACTGTGGTAGCAGAGTGGTCGGAACAACAATCAACGTATACCCATCGATAAGCTGTGCGTCGCTATTCTCTGCCAATTGATGATAAGCTACAAGAAACTCGCATGAAATATTGCACAAGCAGCCCGCCGCCCACTTGCGTCTCGTTCGCCCTGCCAAGCGACACTCCACCCCACCAAGGAACCTATCGATACTTCGACGCGGAGCATTTACTGCGTTCGTGCTCACCGCGCCAAGGGGAGAACCTAATGCAGATAAATCCAGATGTGCAACTCACCAAAAACGCCGAGATACTTTCCGGTCATTTCCTTCGCTGCAAGCACATTGATGCGGTATGCGAGAAGGCTGATGACTTGTAGCGTCTTGCCGAGGCCCACCTCATCGAGGTTGAGAAAGCCGCTCTTGCGATTGTCGAACATTGACTCGGCCATCTTCCGGACGCCCACGATTTGGTGCCACTTAAGGCTAGCTTGTATGCGCCGCTCGGGGGCGCAGTACTTCTCACCGTCGCCCCAGGTTGTGAACTCGAGCAACGGATCCCGCCACCTCGCCATTTGTGGCATCGCCCCGTTCGGAATGCCGAGTTCGCGCCAAAGCTCTACTTCGCTCTTGCTGACGAGGTCCTCGATCTCTGCGTCAAGATCCCATTCCTTAAGCTCCCGCTCCCGGATACCAGGGATTCGCTCGTGTTCAGGGTCCTTTTGATAGGATTCAAGAAGGTCCTTGATGTTGTTCTCGACGTCGGTTATTGCGTGTTCTTGCACCATCTGCACGATCATTCTGTGAGTGTTAGGCTTGATAACTGGAATTTGTTGTACACTGTCGTCAGTACGGACTCCAACTAAGTTCTGCTTGCTTACTCTTATTCGCCACATTGTGCATTGACGTCTGAACCGCCGTGATCGTCTCAAGCAGCCTCTCATTGTTCGTTCGGTCTTCTAGTGTGGCAGTCTGCACCCGCGCCGCCAGCAACTTGCCGCCGTCCCGAGTCAGGGTTCGCAACAGTTTCGCAACATCGCCCTGCGCGAGGTTGTGGTCTCGGATCTCTACATGTGCGTATTGTGAGCGTCTGCGTTTAACTAAAATCCGCTCGTGCTTACGGTTTTGGGCATCCTCGACCTTCTCCTCGAGCTCCGTAATTATGGAGAGGGTTCGCGCGACGCTGCTCTTCGCGCCGCTCCAGAGAATCTCGAGAAGATCCGTCACCCAGCGCTCTGGCTCTTCGTCCAGGTGGTTCTTGTGGAGATAATCATCGCTTACGAGCTCTGCGAGCACATCTTTCTCGATCTTGGTCGCAATAGACTTGGTGTTCACATCCGCCTATTGTTGTTACTACTAAGGATACTCCCCATGTACCAGACCAAAAATCCACGTACATTTTTTTGATCACGGGGCTCGCTCGACTCTCTGAGTTTCCCCCAGTGATCCAGGCTGTGGTCTCTCAAGTGATCGCGCAGCCACTTACTGACCTGCCACTCCTTCCTACCGATCACCTTCTTCGCCCAGAGCTGCAGAAATGCTTTGGCTTCCTTTTCGCCCCCTACCATGCCGTTGGCCTTACAACGCCATATCTTCTCCCGCTCGGTCTTTGAGGTCGTCCCTTGGAGCCGGGTCGCAAAGGACTGCACGTCTTCTCGCTCTTTTGATGTCAGCACAACCAATCCAGGCTCTGGGTCATCATCCCAGAGCGGACGAACGACGCCCGACATGTCATGCCACTTGTTCTCGGTCCAGGGATTCTGCCAGCTAACTAGCCACAGTGCGTATGAGCCGCCCATCGAGTTGTTGTTAGCTGTGGACAGAAGGGAGTTGGTGCTGAAAAAGACGACGTGGCAGGATTTGCTCTCCATCACAATTCATATCGGCAAAATAATCCATTAATTATCTTGCGTTATGATGCACCGTCGGGGGTTTAAAGTGCAACAATTACTGTTTTTTGAGATTATAACACAGAATAATACAAGACATCGGCCTGCGGTGCGGCATATTGCGCTTTAATAGTAAGTAATCTACGTCTTTGCGCATCAGCGCCCGCCAGGATATACGCAACACACTTCATTCGCTCCAGGCGGACGTACACTGTATAGATAGATGGCCCGCGGTGCAACATATTGCGCCTTAATAGTAAGTAATCTACGTCTGCAGCGCATCAACGCCAGGATACACGCAACACACTTCATCCGCTCCAGGCGGATGCACACCACTCGCCTCCATACAGAGTCGAGGTGTCATGGCCTCGGGTATCCTGGCCATGACGAAGCTCCGTGCGGCTGCCGGGCAATCCCGTGCATGCTTCTGCGCTACAGCGCGAGAGTGAATAGGCCTTGCATCAGGTCGACGCGCCCGACGATCACACCACAAAACTTAACTTAGTGGGCTAGTGCTTGAGCGAACACTGAGCGGATGCTCCGACTCCATGTCTATGTCTGAGCACGTGAAGGGTGGCGAGCCAGAATGGAGCCAGCCTATGCGGCCTGAATACCTGAGAACCGGTGAAGCTCATTGGGCTTGACCGAGACCTTTTGACGAAAGCCAACCCTGTGGGTGGCGCGGCAGAAAAAACCAACCCAATTCAAGGACAGGGACTTGTGGGTCGACACGGCACGCAACTGGGTATGAGTGACTGGGATGCCCGTCTCAAGGGTGATATTGTCGAGGGCTTGCAATGCCTCAAGTGCGCCATCAAGCGTGACCTGCTGTTCAAAGAACATGGCCCTTGTTCGGCGCAAGAAGATGAGTCATTTTTGGATGCGGCAGATGACAGTGTTGACACTACTACCAATGATGGTGAGCTGGTAGAGGGTGACGAGCTGACGGAAGGTGGTGAGCACTCATGGGATGAGATATTGGAGGACGACGACGACATCTATGAGGATTTATCTACTAAGTCACCTGCTGCCACCACCGCCAGTATCCAGTAATGTAGGCTCTATGTAGGTTGGTTTGTACATCAATGAAGCTTCTATTGTATGATATACTCGAGTTTGAGCAGGCAAGATTCAGATCATTTGGGTGTACAGAGCGAGAAAGGTATCTCGAGCGGTGAAGGGTCTACGGGGTCCCAACAGTACCAGAGGCCCTTCGACATGCTACAAGCCCAGGGCTTAAGCCCGAGCCGGGCCTGACCTGGCCTGCTCTCAGGGCTCAGGGCCGGGCTTGTCCTCGTCTCAGGCCCTGGCCCTTCTAAGTCGAGCCCAAGCCCGGGCTTTGAGCCCAAGCCGGGCCCGCACATCACTACATAGGCAATATATGCTTTTATTCCAAATTCAGCTCTAAGGAGGTCCGCGCGCTATCGCGATCGAGGGTGTGTTTGTCCTCTTGTGAGTGTCCCTGTTTGTTTATGGTCTCCGGGCGTGGCGGCTAGGATACTACCGGCATAGCGCGTTTGGCGAGAAAAACAAGATACTACGTATCTGATCTTCACTCTCGCCTTTTGGGTCCCTTACGTCACATAGCTGGTAGGCACCAAGTTTTCGCAGCGAGCCGATGCTTTTTTGCGTACCACTCTGCCAATTCTGTCATGCTCTTCCCAACTCGGCACACTCGCACTGCATCAAGCTTTGCGACCCGCTTACAGTAGCATTAGCCACCACCTCGCACCGAGACACACCAGACAAGTAACGGGAAGGCGCATTGCATTATGTTGAGTTGTTCTGGGGCCGTACACGAAAAAATCTACATAACCGTGATATGTATTCGCATTCGTCGATTCGAGTTGGAAGCTACAGCACGAACGGCTCTTTATAAGCGCACCGGCTCGAGTCGCTGCTGCCGTGCTATGAACAGTATCGCAGAGTTGAACGCCGCGTTCGAGAGCTGTACGCTGGTATCAACTTGTCGTGCCAGGTACAGAGGGAACGGGACGTACGCCGTTACCGAACGTGGAGCTACACCCGCTTGCCAGGGATCATAAGCATGCCTTGCGCTCGCGACGTACACTTCTACCAAGCATCAGGTTCAGTTTCCCTTCTCGCCGCAACGAGCTCCTAGACGTGCTCTCCGCACTGGATGGCTTGCAAAGCACTGCCAATCCCTGTTCGACCCGACACGCACATTCTAGAGGGCCTCTCCTGCGCAGCTGATGCAGACCCGAGACGCCGCCGCCGCCGCCGATGGCCTGCAGCGCACGATGAACCACATATGGGACAAAGAAGCGGGAGAGAGATGCACCGAGGTGTAGTTCATGTTCTGCACCGTCACGGCTTGCTCTGTCTTTACCGTCTTCAGACGCCTGCGAGCATGGACAGAGGTAGACCGCCGTCCGGTTGTTTCTTCCGTTTCGTCCACATAGCTAGAAACTTGACTGGGAAGCTGGATCCTTTGAAGCCTGCGCCTCGGCTGCACAGCGTTTGAGCGATACTCGATGAAGTCTCCCCGCCGGACGTGCAGTGCTGGCGGGCCGTCGAGGCGTGCGTACAGGTCTGTGCAAGTTGGATGCCACAGAGACAGTGCAGTCGGCGGCGCCGGTAAGAAGATGTACCGATCTGGTGGTTCGCCTTGGAGGGAGTGTGTGCGAACCAATGTCTGCCCAAAAGCTGTGCGGTCGGGAATTGTGGGAGTACCAGATGAGCATCCTGGCTGTACATTAGCAATCGCACGATGGGTACTCACGAGATCTGCAGAATGAACGGACCGCCACCTGACCTTGGGGCAGGGGCTGTCGATGCTTCCGACACCGCCATGTCGATGGTTGTAGCACCGCGACAGGGTCGAGTAACGGAGCGCAATCGATGCAGTATCCTCACCTCTGTCGCTCGTTCTCGTTCATGCCCGCGGCCTTCGTTCTCGACGAGCGCGACCTGCTTGTAGTCGAGTTCGTTCTTGTCGCCTGCTTGTCTGTCAGCAGGCAGACCAAAGTGTATAGATAAAGACGCACAAGTAGAACGTTGATCCTGAATAACCGTGGCTCACGCTTGTCTAGTAGCACGGCTGCGACCTTTGAGGTATCCTCTTCGCTCAGCCTTCAGGTGCTCTTGGCTTTCTCTTCCACGTCCACGTCCCGGGTCCATCGGTTTGTAATAGTGCTCCAGGCAATCTTGTACTGGACTACCAAGCCCATCAGGCTGCGCTCGCACCACGGAACAGGAGTTGAGCCCACATCCGTGATGCTGCGAGAATTGCTCAAGCCCAGTCTGAACGACTTGAGCTAGAGACCAGTCGTACAGCTCAATGAGCGACTCTGTTCTACGTATATCAGGGATTCAGGGGCATTGGACACCGGTAGGTCACTCACCATCCGGCCTTTCCTCCCTTTCGCTCGTTACTCTCGGAGACGTCGGCGGAAATATCGAGGAGCCAGCGGATATACAATTGATTGCTCGAAGCAAATGGCGATGCACACGGCGCCAAGTAAACACTAGGCGCCATAGTGCTGTTCGTCCTCTTCCCCGATCCCTCTGTTCCTTATCAACGCTGCCTCACATCTGCAAAGATGTCGGCCTTCCCGACTGAATATCCCGCTGGTGAGTTATCGTTTCCCTGGCGCTTTGTACAGAGCGACCGTACCCACAGGAAGTTGGGCATGCCTCCAAGCCGGTCTGGTCTGAACAGGTCATCGTCGGGCATGTTATTGGCGATTCAGCGTCCGGTGTGCGCTATATGTATGCACGCGGACACGTCGTACCTATAGACTGGTCTGGGATTTCAACGAGGTGCGCTGTCAATACGATCTTTTGCGAGCCTCGCTCACTAGACCGCTGTCACCTAGGGCATGCCCGTTATCGCCGAATATCAGCGCTAATATACAGCCGACGCCGTATGGCATGCTCTAGCTGCTCATCGCGGGCGTAGGCGGGTGCACGGGCGCTGCATGTGGCGCGAGATGTTGTTGGTAGACGCGCTCAGGCCGCGTTTCGTTGCCTCGAAGGACCGCGCCGCCGATCGCAACCATCCGGAAGGCCGCACCATATCGACATAAGAGTACCGACGCCGACGGTAGGTAGAGAGGCACAACGAGGGAGCCGGCATGTACGCCATAGAACACGAAGCTATGACGATGCGCGTCGCGCTGGACCCATGGTCCTCACGATGCTGCGGCTGTCATTCCTTGGCCGCTCTGTTTAGTTCGCAGAGAGTAGTACAAATTAATGACAGAAGTCCTGCGATAAATCAATAATCCGCTCCTCGATCCACATCTCAAGTTTTTGTGTGTCAAAATCTATGATGCGTGCTAGTTTGAGCGACAGCAGCGTATCGACGCGATGCATCCGGTTGGAGTTGATGTATGTTTATAAGCTAACAAGTGATGTAACGCATAACTATGAAGGTAAATGTCAGAATTTATTCTGATTTCGCAACCAGCTGCAACGGTTTGGGCCTTTGGGTTTCGCGAGGTGGAATATGGATAGGCGCCCAGTAATAACGCGTGATAACGAGCAATAATGCACGGAAACGCGGCATCGGTGTACTTCATTGGCTGATCGCAGGTCAGGCCTAGCAGCGGCACACTATGCGGGCTCTAGGAGCCAGCATAAGGCATGTAGTTTGCTTAATTGGGATGCTGCGGGGCAGTGGCCGGTGCTCGGCAGGCAAGTCATCCTGGTGGCCACTGCGCCCGCCACGCATCGCTTAAAGCTGGTCACACTAGATGGCCCTAGAAGCCTTGTTCATAAATAGAGGCTTGTTATGACAAATAACTTTGGACACTGGCCGGCCAGCACTGGCTTTAGATGTCAGTAAGCGGCCCGCAGTGGCCTGTACAGGGCTGCTCGCAGAGTCGTAGACTTATACAATGGTGACAGACACTATACAGGTCCTCCGGCTGTTTTCTTTCCTGTGAGCTGCCAGCTTCTGTCCACTGTTCCACAGCCATTCAGAGAGCAAACATGGAGACACACACCGTGCTCCTTTGAATGCCCTTCCGCACAATGGGCATCGCTCATTGGGTAAGGTTCCCACAGCAGAATAAACATACGGCCCGCGGCGGCAGTGCAGAGAGCTGCGCGCAGCAGGCAAGAGGGCCGGGCTCGGCTGCACGGACAAGAGCAAATGAGTATACAAGTCAAACACTATCTGATTCGAAGTCCAGAGGTCTAATAACATGCTATTACACGTTATTACACGTTATCATGCATTATCACGTGTTCTAAGGAGGGCGAAAATGCTCATATAAACCAAAGTAGGGCAGGTGTTTATTGAGGCTGTGCTGCGTGATAACGCGTGATCACGCGTGAAAACGGGAATAAACGAAGAAAAACCCTGCGAAAACATGGTGAGTACAATGAATGCAGAATAAATTCCTTGGAGCGCCTTCAGACATAACGTATAAAGCACATACTGTAAGATATGTGATCATTCGCGCACAGAGCACGGACCACAGACTAGTCGTTTGCTTCTTCATCTAAAAACGAGCATCTGCGGCAATCAAGGACTGCGCTTACATTATGTATAATTCCTGTTGTTATTTACGTTTCTGCGCTGCTTTGAGACGCGGATGCTGTGTGAACTTGACCCTGGTTTCGGAGGAGGCAAAGTATATAGACGTTCTGTGAAATAGAGCTTCCGTCATTCAACACCCCTCATAGCACCCTGCCACTCAAATTGAGAAGCCGTTCCAAAACTATGCCTCCTTCGCCAAATGAATGGATGGATCTGACAAGCATTCCCACTGAAACATTTTTCGATCATTTGTATTTTTTAAAGGAGAGAACACCTGCCGAGGACCGGGATCACACCCATGTTCAGTTCGCCCTCGCAGGTCGATACAAGCAGCCAGATGGAAGAACACTGCTCGTCAAACTTGATACTCCACCGGCAGTCGCAAATGGGGTCGAGAAGATCCGCCGTCTGGGTGCTATGCTTGGAACCTCCCGCAAGTTCCCATGCAGTTTAGCAATGGACGTGCTGAGGCTTCCGCACCCAAAGTGGGAGCTGAACAACGAACAAGATCTCACTAAAGACTTCACTAATTCAGTAAGTGGCATGATGTTTTTGACATATTGAAATATGGAAGTCTTATAAACGATCTGCTACCATAACACAGTACGGAGCATACAGCAATATTCCTTTGCAGAATGTTCCTCACATATCATTTGCTCTTGGCTCAGCAGATAACACAAAGGTGTTCACATGGCTATGCTTACCGGAACTCTATTACAAAGGCTGCTCCCCTCGCATACTCAGGACAGATCTCTACCACCTCTACCTCACTGCGCTTCACCCGGCTTATGAAGCGAGCATTCCAAACCTCACTCCGCTGCCTAAGGTGACCAAAGTTGAAGACTTTGTGTCCTTATCCACTTCTGCATTCGAGGAGTTTTCCTGCAGCCTCACAGTTGAAGAAGACTCGCTATCAACTTTCACCGAAACTCTGTTCCACTGTATGGACGCAGACGACATATTTCGCGGCGCGTACTTCGTGCATCACGTTAGCCCACGGACTATTGAGCATTGTCCTACTAGTCAACGTGAGCGGAACAATGCATGGTTGGAGGCAAGAGGTGCACTGGATGAACTGCCAATGGACAAGGACATCGATGGCTGGGAAGGGAATGTACAGCTTCTCTTCCGAAAGCCAGGTGCTGTCCTGCTGTGGCAGCACGATGCAATCAAGACGGTCTTAAACTACCTGCTCCCTGATATGGATGAAGAGGAGATCGCCAACCTCGTAGATGAGCGGAAGTCATCATCTGCAGCAGCTACATTCACCTTCGGAAACACCATTGTCAATCTGTCCTCTGCTGGTCTCCCTATCACCCGCCTCGAGTTTCATACCAAGGACTACAGCACGGCCCCAGCTGGATGGAGAACCTTCGGAACTGATGATACGTTTCCTTCGCATCTGGCTGTCTGTCGTCAGTCTGCTACAAAGGCGCAGAAAACATGCTTTCAGTTTGCTACTGCCGACTCACCTACTGGTGATGTTGAATGTCGCCTTACTGTCCACGGGAAGCTCGAAGGACTCAAGAACACTTTGTCCTCTACGCCTGCTAGCAGCAGCCTGTTCTACGAAATAAGCAAACGGGGCTGGTGGTAAGTGCCATAGTCAGTTCTTTGATACCAGAAATAAGGTGCATTGATTACTTTTCAAAGGAGATTCCGTGGTACCCGCATCTTCGCAGCAAACATAGTGCTGAAAAGCCTCAAAATAACACCAAAAGATGCTCGCGTTTGGCCCACAGTTTTAGGACTGGCTGCTATCGCAATCCACATTATCAACACTTGTATTCAACCACAAGTCGAAAGCGCTGCCCTACATCAGACTTTGTACGACGCGGCCTATCAGATTGCTCCAGATGCCAGCAACGCGGTGGAAGCAGATTGGGCCGAGGCTGCCGAAACCCTCGAACCATTTGTCGAGCAGCGTGGAGCCTATTTTATGGCTGATGTAATGAAGAATCTCCACGATGAAGGACGAGGCTATTTTCTACGCTTACCACAGTCGTACGCGGAGCTTGCAAGCGGGTTGGTGGACATATACAACCAACAATCAATGAGCGATTTGCGCCGTGAGTTTGGATTAGGATCTCATCAAACACACATTATCATCGCTCCAAGCATCCATCGACTGTCCAAAGGAAGAGACACAGCTCTGGTGCAGCACACTTGGCAGAGGCCCCTGCCTCCTCCACTGACATTTGAACTTGCCGACGTGGATATCCGGATCCGTTCTGTTACTGCTCTGACCGGAGTCGACGCCCGCGACAACGAAGACGAGGAATACGACAGGCTAGATGATATGCTGCAAGGAACACTTATCGATATTCTCAATCGGATCTACTTGCAGCTTTGCCACGATCTCATGGCCAAGTCACCGAACGCGCGCGGTGGGGGAGCATATACCACAGTAACTCGCCAAGAGCTTTTTTCTATCCCACCCGGACTCTACCTCCAGCCTGAATTACCCTTTGAACGGATATGCATCGAACTCTGCGACCGCGACGAATGGATCAGGACCGTGCACAACCTCCTACCGAGAAAGGGGTACATTACTCCTCCAAAGGCTATGGCATACCCAAAAAGCACATACTACAAGGCATGGATTGCACTCTTGGACCGTATGAACCCCTCACACGCGGCATATGTGACGAAGAAAATGCGAGCCGAAATTTCCAAATTCTTATGGCTACCAAAAAATGACAAAAACTCCATGTGGATCACACAATCCAACCATCCAACCAGGAGCATTACCTTGGGAGATGAAGATCGTCGATCATGCCCAGTCCTCGTTGTAAATCCCATCTACGTACACAGTGTAGAGGAGCTGGGCAGATTTGTGGCACGCGACTTATAGCCTGCATGTAAGTTCGCTCAATGACACTGCTAGCATCTCAATGTACTAACGGGCTTAAGGAACAACAGTGTCCCAAATTTACAAGATCATAATGCTCGTCCTCACTTTTCTTACCATGTTGTTGCTGATATTCATATATATGATATAATAGTGTTTAGGAAGCATGTACACTTTGCGGCTGCGTTATGAAAGGGAACCCGGGCAGCTGATGCACTCTGAATGCTAGTTTGTGCCCTCAGGGATCCGCTCCAAGCGGAACCCTTCATTGTCTCCTCATGACTGCATAACAATTCTTCGAGGTGTCGCCTGCCAGCACGCACCCGCTCCAAGCGGAACTCTTCGTCATCTCCCCATAGACGCATGAACGACCTTCAAGGTGCTTCCTCCTGGCATGCATCCGCTCCAAGCGGAACTCTTCATCGTCTCCCCATAGATGCGAACTTTGAGATGCTGCCTACTAGCTTGTATCCGCTCCAAGCGGAACTCCTCATCGTCTCCATAGCCGTATAAACAATTCTTCAAGATGCCGCCTGCCAGCATGCATCCGCTCCAAGCGGATGCCCTGCGCCAACCCCACACAGCAACAATAGCACAACAAACCACAACAACCACAAACGAGCGCACCTATTGGGGGATGCGCGGGGGGGCCTTGTCCGCCTATCACCACCACGTCGATATCACTGGGTGGTAAGGGCGGTTTTTTTGGCGGCGAAACTGGGTTCAAACTGATGAAACAAGGCCCCGCTTTCGTGCGATTTTCCGCCATTAAAAAAAAGGACAAAACTTGAAGTTTGCTTTTCAGTTTACTGCCTTGTACAATCAGGACAGAACTGTGAGATTGTGGTATAGATTTCCTCGCTTTTAGCGCAGGCACCATCTTCAATTTAATCTCGATTTGTAACGCTTGAAAAAAACGCGTCAAACCAAGTGGCACTGTTTTGTTGCTCTAATAATTTCATCTAAAACATATCCCAAATGGGAAATTTTATCTCAAATTACTTCTATGTAAAAACTGGGCACAACTACAGGTTTTGTTTACAGTCTCTCAAGGTAATCAATTACCGAAAAAATTGACATGTGATGCAAAGTTTTGTTGCAGATATTACCAGAACGACTTCAAGTTTGAGCTCAATTTTTACGGTGTAGGAAAATGGAAGTAACAGCCCCTAGATTGTACCACAATCTTTATGGTAGAAAACCTGCGCAGAACTGCATAAATAACTCACACTTTGAAAGTAAGTTTGCACGGTGGCCAAAATCAGAAGAAACGAGGTCTCTTACCCTAACCGCCGCCTCGTCTCCGCCACGCCGAATGTTCGTGCTCGTCTGCGAGCTCTTCGGGACCGCTGCCGGCAGACGTCCCCGATCGCCTCGTCGCCATATCCGCTACGACACGCCAAACAGGCCGAGGAGGTTGCACAAACGAGAGCTGCCCGGCGCGGTCATGCGCGTCCTCAGTCCGCGTGTCGGGCAACGAACCACCCTGGCTGACGGCATGGCAGGCGAAGACGATTCGCGTTCCGCCTGAGGGCGGTGGTCTGCTCACGAACGTAGGGAGTCGGGTGTCCGCGCGCGTGCCCTCCGCGAATAGTTCGTGCCGCGCCGTTCGGTTCCGTAGTCAAGTGTCCA